GTTCTGGAGGCAGCAAATTCCACAGTTAAGCACATTGTCCCAACTCATTTGTTGGATGACATGAAGTGTTGCCAGATTAGAGGTGTAGGGTAAAGAAAATGTCAGGCTTTTCTGCCCTCCCACCATCAGGATAGATGATGGATCCTTACAGTCTTGAATGCATGCCTGATGGCGGGCACCTGGAGTAGGATGTGGGCATAGGTAGATGGGATTCACCTGGGCTGAGACTGGGCTTTTAAGGGCGGCGTCACGGGGACGCCAGTAGAAGCCGAAAAAGAAGCCGAACAGAAGCTGAAAGAGAAGCCAAGAGCAGAGAAGCAGAGAGAAGGCCGGAGAGCCCAGAAAGAGTAAAGACTTGCGGGGGGCTGGGAGGCCTGCCAGCCTCCCGGCCCCCCAGCACCCCTGCCTGCCGTGTACCTGGTAATCCCAATAAAAGACCTGCAGAAACCACTGAGGACTCTGATTCCTCCTTTACCCGGTCTGCTGGATCCTAGAAAACCTGCACTGTGTCCATTCCTGCCTTTACAAGAGGCCAGTGCAGGAAACGGCTCTGCGGCAGGTCTAAGTAAAATAGGCCCAATCACCAGGGCCTAAAACCCACAGACTCCAGGCTACTTGGAAAAAAGGAGAAGAGGTGCCCTCTTGGGACATTTGGACAAGCACCAACTGGAGAATCACAACACAGACACCAGGATTATGAACCAAGTTGCTACCATCTGTGAGAGAGAATCCTATGCCTTTAAAAAAGAAAAAGAAACAAAGAAAGGAACAAAAAGAAAAAACTGCTCCTGGCACGTTACTCTGCTCTGTTGGAGGGATACCGACCACTGGTCACCAGGTGGTCATGAGCTGGGCTCGGTCAGATCACTTAGTCATAAGGTTGGGTGTGCCCAGCTGCAATCCATTTTTAGATTTAAGTGGGACCAGCTGGGATCCGGCATGAGCCCAATCAAAGAGCCAGTGAGATTCATGATAAGTGGTTCAGACTCCCCGGAGCACCCAGCACCGGGCCTTTCAGCAATCACTGACAGAAATTTGGGCCCCTAGTGACCATCTAAAAGGGAGGAAAAATCTGAGATTGGCTCATGGATGGGTCAACATGGCCCCAGAGTCCAGGCCAAAGATGAAATTCTGCTTCACTAAAATCAACTCGGGATGGCCCTGACAGACATAAGTGTGTTTGCTACCCACACGATATCTCCTCAGTAACCCTCCTGAAGGTTCCTCTGAGATCGCTGGACAAACACACAGAGGGGCAAATCAGCAATCTGCCTAACCGGAGCTTAGGTCCTCACCCTTGAACTTCATGCATGTCCCTAGACTTAACGTTCTCTTGAAAGCTGACTCGGTCCCCTCAGGGCACATCCACATTTAGATTTTAGAGGATGGTGTTTTAAATTGTTAAGGGAGCATCCGCCAAAGCCCCATTTTGTTAAAAATACATTTGTAGTTTTGTTTTGTTTTACATTAATAGTGGTTAACATTGTTACTTGTGTTTCAGAGGTATAGGATTTCAATCCCCTTCAGGTGTTTTCATTACATTTTAACTCTGCAATCCTTTTCACTATTCATATGCTGTCTCAACTGGTCCCTGATGGAATGTTTTTAATCATCTTATCATTTTAGCAATACAAAAAGGTACTGAGGCTACTTCCTTTACATATGTACATTTTAAATACAGCACCATAAGCTTAGTTTTTAACTATATTCATTGCAATAAAGAATACTTTTGACATTTTCCCATTTAGTTTATGCTCCATGCTGTTTAATTTGCTCAAATTTATTACATATGAAAGCACATATGATTCATGGACTAATAATTCTGGTTTCCACCAGTTTTGGCTACTAGAGATTGAAGGTCAGTAAAACTGGGATATTTATGTCCCCTGACTAAATATCCTGGCTAATTCTTGCAACTACAGGTGACAGCTCCTGGGAAGGGTCCTCTCCACCTCCCTACCTCTTCAAACGTGGCTTGACCGTGGCTTCCTGCTGAGACCAGCCTCTGAGCTTTTCAATAGCCCTTGTGATTTCCTTACTCTCCAGTCATATTAAACACTCATCAAATTATGTTGTTTGAGAGTGTACCATCTCTTTTCTGCCCGGATCTTGACGATCACATGATACAGGACTATGAATGAGAACAATGTAAACTACGGAACGGTCACAGACAGGAGGTAGTCAGCAAATGACAAAGCAACTAGCAACTGAATTGGGAGTCCCCTTCTTGGCTATCCATTAAATGTCGCACACTCAACCAAATTCTCTCACTGAAGGAGAGGCTTGAGGGAAAACCAGTTCAAATATGTACTTTATTTTTTATTTAAAAAGTAGAAGGGGTGGGTAGGTTGGGTTAGATAGGCAATTGTTTGTGAATGGATGCAAACTAGATTTTGGGCATGAGCATAATGTACTATATACAGATTTTGATATATAAGTCTACATACCTTAAGCCTTAGAGACTAATGTTATTTCAATTAAAAAATAGAAATTGAAGCCATGGACACTTTGACCATAAACACTTCCTAACAATCCCTTAAGTTTACAAACCACCAGTTGAAATAAGAGTATTGCTAGCTGAAAAGTTTTTTGCCCCAACACGATAGATAAATTATGGAATAATATGTATAGGGGTGTGTGTAGGGGGGATGTTTGAGAAATTTTGGGATATCTAAGAATGTACCACCTTGTTGGTAAAAATTAAACATAGCACTAAAATTTGAAATGAATCTGAAATCAATTAATCTATAAGTGGAAATACATCCACTGGCTTTCTCCTCTAATCTAGGGCTTGAAACCAGGATCCAAAGAAGGGTTATTTATATCCAACAAAAAGACCCAGGTCAAAGACCACAACTTAAAACCAAAAATTGCTTTAAGTCCCTGAGGATTCACAAGCAACTGTATTATAAACACAGGAGATGAACAAAGTACAAGAAGTATATATTATGGGAAGGTATGTGAATATAGAGGTGTGAGCACCCCAGGATGGCTGCTTGCAACACTGGGCAGGAAAGGCGACATGGTCACAGCCACTCAAAGAACATGGAGTCCAGCTTAGTCCATTCAGTTGGCCAAGTCAACAGAAGACAAGGGCAGAAAAGGGGGTGTAAAATGACACTAGAGAATACTTGTCACAAAATACGTATTTATTTTCTTTTATTAAAATTTCTCCAATTCTATTATAATTTGAAAGTTGTTGAGATGGTACCCATGAAGATATTTTTCAAAAATGAAGAAACTCTTTATCTAGATTCTTCCTACTCTTCATAGCTCTGACCTCAAAATTGGCTGTGCCCCTCGTCTGTCTACATCCGTCTGTCTCTCTCTCTCTTTCTCGTTCCCTCCCTTCCTCCTTTGGAGATAGTGTATAATCCACTCAGGAGGAGGAAATCTAGAAGCACTAAGGGAACACCAGAAAGAGGGGGGGATGAGATGGACCCAATAAAAGAAGGTCATGTGAGAGTAGAGGATTAGCCTCCTATTTCCCAGCATGTAAAATAGCTGGTACCCATCTTTCTGCTCCCCTATTCCTTATCCTGTTACCTCCTCCCCCTTTCAATCTACTTCATCTGTCCTCTTTATCTGTCCTCAGGAACCAACTGAGTGTCACTGGAGGAGACGGTTCTAGACACAATGGCAGGATGTGTGACCTCCCATGGAAAAGCTTGGTAACCAATGGCAACAACGTGATTCCATCTTTCCAGGTACTGGGCAAAATGAATGATACTTTTTCCAAGTTTTACTCATTCTCAACAACCCTGTGTCAGGCACAATCATCCTTGCCTCCCTTTGCTGTCAACAATGCCCTACTGGTCAGTTCATCTCAGAGCCTGACCAAAGGAGTCTCATGAGTAAGCAAGGAAATGAGGAATTCATTGATAGAGGAATTCATTGATATTCTCCCAAGTTATCTTGTTTTCTACCAAACTGAAATGTCTTATTGCTGTTGCCCATTAGCTTATTATTGATAATAGTTTAAAAGATCTTTATAGTGTGATTCACCACCAGTTCAACTTCTCCAGAGGATCCCTTCCTCACTAAAGTAGATCTTTAGCGCTGGAAAAAGCCATAAACCAAGTTTGCTGAGATGGTTTACATGTGAATCTGTGGAGCTTGATAGGATGAGACCCCCCCGCCTTACTTTTTTTAATGGCCCTACACATGGGGGCTCTGTAACCAGTCATACAAGAAACAGAGCATAAATAACCATGTGGGACTGGCATCTCTTCCCAGAAACTGGATTGCATCTGACAGAGCAACACTTTCTTGCTTTCATGTTTTTCTTCTACACAGTTTTGCTCAATCACAGTAACCTGTCAACAGTTGTTGTGTTGTTCAACAACCCATTGATTTCTGTTGCTGAGTGAAGAAGTATGGTGGGCCAACAGTCCTCTCTGGAAGGGCTTTTAATAAAATAGTGTAGGGTAAGGTACAAGGTATCAGGCTTTTCTGCCCTTCCGCCATCAGGATAGATGAGGGAGCCCTGTGATCCTGGGTGCATGCCTGATGGCGGGCACCTGAAGTGGGTCCACCTGAGCTAAGAGACTGATTTATAAGGGTGGTGCAGCAGAGTGCGGTGTGGTGGTAGTGCGGTGTTAACGGTGGAGGAGTGGAGTGTACGGAGGAGTGTTGGAGCGACTACAAACCACGGCGAAGAGCATGTGGCTGCTAGAACCGTTCATAAACCTGCTCAGAATGGGTTGGTTGCTTTACAAATAGGAAGTGTTTTTTTTTAATTATCAATAATGAAATTCACTGTCAAAGTGTACCCACCTCTCATAAACTGCTGATTCTTTGTATTTAGACCCCTGACATTTGCAGGGATTTCTAGAGCAACTTAATACACCTCTCAGGGAAGGGACCTGGTGAAATAAGGCCTTTCTGGAAGGAGGAAGGGACATACTGAGCACTGGATTCAGGCGACGGGACTCAGCGACCCCGGGAGCTTGCAAAGACCCGAGGCGCTGCTGCAACGGCCGAGGGGGGTGGCCCCTTACCTTACCACACTGCTTACATTTTCCCTCCTGGCGACGCCTGTGTACCCAGTGATGACGCACAAAGTTCTGTGGGGAAATAAAGTAGATGAATATATTTAAATCTGCAACTCCAACATTAGTTCCTTCAATGCTCTGAGACTATCAATTCCAAGCCTAAGAGCATAAAAACAAACACACGTACACATGCTTGTTTGACAACAAACATGAATCCACTTGGACAAATAACTCCAACCCTCTGTCCCCAGGGATCTTCCATATTTGTAGACATAAGTGATCGCATCCCGCTTCTCTGTCTTCCTCATGGCCGAGGCCACCCCAAAGCCTCTCTTGCTGTTTTCTAGTGAAAGTGCGTGCAGCTGTGGGAGCACACCAGAGACCCGGGGCTGGGGGGCAGATGAAGGAAGTAGCCATAGAGAAATGAAAAGGAGAAGAAGTTGATACAACAAAATCTTAACAATATATCTATCATGCTCTTTCTATGCCAGTGTGTAGGAAACATCCTAGTGAGAGAATCCAAGCTCCCAATTCAGGGGAGAATTTTCCACGAGAGTAACTAAAGAAAAAGAAAAGCTGCAAGAGACAATGAGGGCATGTGGGTGAAGTCTTTGCAATAATGTTATATTTAAACTTGCATGGCTCAGGGGTTAAAATCTCAGCACTACCAAGCTATCCCCAGCCACTGTGGTACGAGTTTGATCCCCAGCCAGGGAGCTGACCCACATGGTGCAGCAGACCTCTCCTGTCTCTCCTGCTGCTCCCCTCAGCAGTGTATTTCAGTCAGTCTGCCTGTTCTGCTCCCCACTCTGACTCTGGTGAATCCTCTCAAACCCACCCCCAACCCCGCACCTCTGGCCTCCATGGCCTTCATCCCAATGTGTGTTGTATAAATAAATAAAATAAATCTTTAATAAAAAAATAAATACATTTTCAAGAATGGTTCTTGTCTTGAGCTCTAGGGAACACAAAAAAGCCCTTTCCCTCCCGGACAGTGGTTCCTGGAACAGAACTGAGGTATCACCATAGGCTCTGCTATCAGGACACATTACAAGGGAGAAGGGTGTCTTCCAGGCCTGATGATACAATTACCCCCTAACAAATCACATGCGGCTCATTCCTCTTAGACTAGTACCTCTAAGGTACCTGCAAACTTCTGTTTTCTCTTGGCCTTTTCTGAGAAAACACACTTAAACTGAGATTAACAAATCTGTCATCAGGCCATAAAACACACTTTGCCTTCAAAAGGGCTATTAACATCTATTCAATCATTCAACAAACACTTACTAATGCCTGCTCCCTGCCAGGCACTGTTCTAAGTACACGGGCACACAGAACAGGTTGTTGTCAAGGGAGAAAATGTTATATCAGGGCATGAAATTCAGCATGACAAAAATACCTCTAATGAGCATCAGTATTATAAATTTTAAAATGCCACCTTTATTTCCCTTCATACTGTCAAATCAATTTAAAACAAAACAAAGACCCTGGGGGAATAATGGTCTTTTAACTGTAAGAGGCACTGTATGTTGGTTGAACTAATGAGTCTAATTTTTGTCTTACTTTTCCCACGGTGGCATTTTACTAAAACAAGGACACAATTCTCATGTTGTTCTCAGAAAGAAGCTAATAATAATAGCCAACATTTGTTGTGTCCTAACGGCATGTCAGATACTTCTTAAATAGCTTTACATATAATAATTCTCTTAATTTCCGTGAGTAGAAGTGCTGTTCTGTTGGTAGTAAAAATCCTGTGCATTGTTAAAATAGTGAACTATTGCCATATTGGCTTGCAAAACTGCAGTTTGGTGCCTATAATATCCCCTGGTCTCTCCCTGACTTCCACTGCACCCTTGCCCACGCACACACACTCCACCCCCTCAACATCAGAGACCATTTCTACCTCCATGTTGTTAGGCAACTAAAATATTAATTGCTGGTACAAAAGAGCTCCAGGATTCTGTTCCAACGAGCTCTCTTTTAAAAACAAATGGTGTTGCCTCATCAATGCCATTGGTTTCCCCTGCAAACTTAGAAAACCAGGCTGTGCATGGTTATTGGTGTTCGTCAGCAAGTTTAAATAAAATTCAATATAGGCAACTGTGGTCCTGGGACTGGCTGGGGCTTTCAGGACAGTGGCAGCAAGTCTAGGGACCAGCCCAGTTGTCAGTATTCAGGCCATGAGCTCATTGCAAAAACTGTCCTGGGGACAACAGCACTGAATGTTCCACCTCTACGTCACAGGTGAGACAGACCTTTCTGGCCTTCCACCTGCTGCAGTGAGAAGAGCTTCATCACTGCCTGTTTAAGAATAAGAGCTGCAGAGGACTGGGCAACTGACAGCTGGGCTCTATGCTGATATTGCACCATGCAGAGCACATTATCAGAGGATTTTATTGAATCATCATTATCCATGTCTGACTCCAATCACAGTCAGAAGTGGAAATACCAAAAATATGAAAACATCAAATGTATTATAATATATAGAAGTATTTCATATAATTGCCATTAGCTTAGCAGAAACTAAGGGAGAATGAACAGCATCACTGATGGTAAACGAAATTCTCTACTTGTTGAAATGATCAGTCACCTAATGATGATCAATTTAAGGAGGGTGACATTGAAGATGTTTGATGTAATTAGCTATGTGAAATCCTGGTTGACTCATGGGATTATTTAGTGACAGCTTCAATCAAAAGATTAAACCAACAATTTCCACAAATCAACAAGTATTTAGGAACTGACTTAATGAATCATTGGTGCTGCAGCATAAAATGTTTGGTAAGCAGATATATGATACCATGAAGTTTACTTTATTTAGGGAATGAGAAAGAACATTTTAAAATTGTTTGTTTACATATTAATATATATGACTCTGTAAGTTATTAAATATTTATAATATCATCCTTCCTGGGAAATAGGTAGGAAACTAAAACACAGACTGATAAAGTAATTTAAACAAAAGCACTACCACAGAAAAAACTGAGTAACCATCTCCCATCCACAGGTCTATGATTTGAAACATCAGCTGTCCTCCTACTCAAGGGTCTTCTTAGGCCTAAAATATATTTCTTCTTACATTGCTTAAACAAAGTTAGAACAAAGTAAACATCCAATAAAAATGTGAGTTGACTTGTATGACATTCTCAACCTAATTTTATTAACAATGAAATCATGCAGTTATCATTTTATCAATCAGGAAAAAATCAATTTCTACAGAATCTGCTGTTTTCTAATCCTCATTTCCCAGACACTCTGATTTTTCCACTACTTCCTTTTGAATGTTAGTCATATCTGCTAAATAACTTAACTAAAATTACTGAGGATCCTCTCACTGCAGAGATGAGTGTTGATGCATTGCCATTGAGATAGCAAAGCAAGGCTTCTTACGCCATAACATGTTTTCATTATTCATCAATAATCTCTGAATTTTTCATATACTATTTCAAGTATTGGGTAAAGAAAGGACTATTAGTTTATGGGTGTTAAAATCTCAGAGATACATATTTCAGGGTATATGTTCACAGAAACACACAACACATTGCTCAATTATTTCCAAAGAACAAACTTAGTTCATATTCATAAGAGGCTCAAAAAGATCTTTGAAATTATATTCCAGCTCATACAGTAAATGTCTAAGAAAAAAAGAGGTCCAGAAAGAGTCAACTTGCAAACTTACATTTAAAATTTTAAATTCCCACGTACAGCCACTCTATAAAGCAAGAAGGTCAGAGTTTAACAATCCCCACTCTAGATCCCTGCTCTGGGGACAATTACCACCAAGTGGAAAAGCAGCAGAAGTGTCACTTGAACACAGATCAAACTAATTTTAAAGTATCTGCTCTTTCATTTGCATTAAGGATAAACAGCCTAAGATATTTTAATTAATATTCTCAAATGGGTCATAGGCCTGTCATAAGCATCATCTTCAAATTACCCTCTTAGATCAAGAGTTCTTGAGCACTGTGCGAAATGGACCCCTTTATAAATGCATTCAATCAGCAGACATTCTGTGATTCTATCCCCTGTGTCCTGAAACCATGCATATGGGACAAATTCATCAGTATCCTTTCAGAGCTTACACTACAGGAAGGAGACTGCAGGAAGACATGCACAATATACATTTAAAAAATTATAATACACAAAAGATTTAAGGGAGCAGAACAAGGTGCTCTGATAAAGAATAACCTGCCACTGATTTAGAGATAGTCATCAAAGAAGACCACTGGGGGAAGCGGGGGACATTCTGTGCTCAGGCCTAACCTAAGAGATGGCCAGCCATGCAAAGAGATTTCCAGTGGAGCGATAATATGTGTATGTATCTGAAGGTGGGGAATAATGTGATGTGTGACTCAAGAGCTGAAAGAAAATCTTTGTGGCAACTGGATGGTTATGAAGAGGTAGACTGGGGCGAGACTGCAGGACTTTTAATGCCAAGGCAAAGGGTTTGGCTTTCCTCTAGGGCTGTGGAAACCACTAGAGGGTTTTAAGCTGGAAAATGACATAATGCAGTTTTCATTTTAAAAGATCATTCTAAATCATGGTGAATGGAAAGGGCAAATTAAAGGAATCACAGAAAAGCTATTATAGTGGTCAAAGTAAGAGATCACGGTGTCTTAGTCTATAGCACTAACAACAGACATGGAGATAAATGGCTAATTAGAAATATTTTTATAAATAAAATTGGTTGGGTGAGCAAATGAATCAGATATGGGGAGCACATGAGTAAAATAGCAATGTGACACCTCCCCCCTCAGTTTCCTCCATTGAGAAGCTGGACCAACAGCCATCTCCGTTTCTGTGGCACAAAAGAATTGGTAAATAATTTTATGATAGAAATAAGAAGTTTTAGCTTTTAATACATTGTATTTGAGGTGGTTACGACTCATTCACAAGTCATTGCGTGGGTGTGTCCTCACTATGTGGGGAATTCCAGGAAGACTTGGACATGTCATCCAGACATGATATTTAAATGCATGAGATTGGATGAGCTCTCCCAACAAGAGAGGACAGGCAGGAAACAGGCAAATATGAAGATTAGAGGAAAACTAGAAACTGGAGGAGGGAGTAATAAAAGAGAGGGGGAAAGAGTATCCCATGAAGGAAGAGGAAGCTTAGGAAGGAGATGTGTCAGAAATCTAGACAAGAGAGCATTTCAAGAAGGATGAAACATGAAATACTCCAATACGTTTGAAAGGCCACATAAGAAAAGAACAGAAAAAAAGGAATTTGGCATTGGCAATATTGAAAAAAAACTCCGGGTTTTTTTGTTTTGTTTTGTTTTTGTTTTTTAGTAAAAACCAGACCAGAATAGGTTAAAATGACTAGGTGGGGTGACAACTTATAAACAATTTATACAGATAACACTTTCTGAAGTTTAGCAGTGAAGGAAAACTGAGAATGAGAGCCACAGTTAAAATGAGAGCACAGTTGGTGGTTGAAGAATACTTTCATTGGTTGGTTGGTTTGTTTGAAGATGGGAACTATTCGAACATATTCATGCTGATCGGATAATCTAAAACGGGAGAGGGTGGTATTAAAAATGTGGGAAAAGATTGGGCTTCCCCTGGTGGCGCAGTGGTTGAGCGCTGGGCTGCAAAGCTGTCAGCAGCCTCTGCAGTGCCAGTTCGATCCCCGGCCACCAGCGAGGGTCCCACATTGGCATGACAGACCTTTCCTGCCACGCCCACTGCTCCCCTCAGCAGTGTGTTTCCTCAGTCTGCCTGTTCTGTTCCCTGCTGTCTCTGGTGAATTCTCTCACCCTCCCGTGCTTCTGACTGTGCCCAGTGCTTGTATAAATAAATAAATAAATAAAAATCTTTAAAAAAAAGAAAGAAAGAAAACATAGGAAAATAATATCAAGTCCTTGATAAAAAGACAAGGAAAAGTGTCCAAACGTTTCTAGGGGATCTACCTTCATGAAACTGAAGGATAGAGCTAACAACGTTTAAAAACGACCAAAACAACAACAAAACCCCTTGCATTATAAAGTGGCACATATAATCCCCTATTAAGAGAAAAAGAGCATGCTTAACGCTCAGGAATCTAAAAGTAGACATATGGATTCCCTAGCTGGACAGTCATAAACTCCATTGAAAAACACAAAATTCTTCTTTCTATTGTCCTATATGAAAAGACTCCTTCACTTGAGCTCTCACTGAGCTCTCTCCTGACCAGTGCTCGTGTGCACACAGATGGATATGAGTGTGCCCAGAATCCTGCCACTTTCCCTAGACTTCCTCATACCTCTCTCAGACATAATGGACACAAGGTGGGAGATGACTACAGTTGAGAAAAAGTTTGTTTCCTCTCTCAGTAATTCCACTTCCAACGTATTCTCTTTCCATGTTTCCTCTCAATCTCCTACTGTAACAATGTTTCCTTTTCACAGATTTTTTTCCCCATTAACTGTTCTTAAAATGTCAGTGATCCTCTCTCTACTTGGATATCTTTGATTCCTATTCCTTCCACTCATGTAGCCTCATAGTTGTAATGACTATCTATAAATACTGACAAATTACCAATGTCTTCCTTCCACCCTACATCTACCTCATAAGTTCCAAATGCAAATCCATTCATGCTTTCTGTTGGACAGCTTCAATGGGGGTTTTCAGAGACACCCCAAACTTTTCTTCCTTCAAAATCATATATAGAAATTTTCCCCATCCCCAGAGTTACCCTAGTTCAGATTATCATTATCTCTTGCCTAGATTACTAGAATAGCTCCTAAATGTTCTCCAAGATTCCACTGATAATGAAACTCTCAAACTGTAGCGTGACCTTCATGTGACCTTGGACTTCATGTCTTACTTGAAATGTTCTTGCTCACATTTATGTTGGTGTGCATGATCCTCTCCGTCAGAAGGCTCTTACTCATCTCCTAGCTATCCCCCACCTTCCCTTATATAAATAACTCCTTTGTGTCTGCGTTTAGTTACATGTCTTCCAAGAAGCTGCTTCTCTGACATCTTTCCTTTCTCTCTTATACGTAACTACACAGCAATAGTTTCAGGGGTATGCCAGCCAGGGAGGTTTCCAATGGAGATAAATCTATGCATGGAATTTAAATCAATCTCCGTGGGAATGGAGAAAGTATAATCTGGAATGGAGAAAGTATAATCTCCAAAAATCACATTCACCGCATTTTCTCATATGCAGGGTACCGCGTAAGATAGAAACAGCTGGGCCAGTGAGACTATGATCAAAGGACAATGGGTCCTGTTAATTGTAGGTTTTTGTTTTGTCAATCAGGGAGTACAATTTTGGGCCTGGAGCTAGAGCATCCATTATAGCACAGGAGGGATGAGAACATCTACCAACTGTCTCATCTTCTCTAATTTTCCCCATGCTGTGCTCGGGGAAATTTTCCCCATGCTCTCCTCTAAGTAAAAGTTGAACAAATAGGGCCTCCCGGTGGCGCAGCGGTTGAGCGCTGGGTTGCGAAGCTGCCTGCAGCCTCTGCAGTGCTGGTTCGATCCCCGGCTGCTCCCCGGCCCCGGAGGAGGGTCCCACATGGCGCGCAGACCTCTCCTGCCGCCCGCTGCTCCCCTCAGCAGTGTACTTCGGTCCTTCTGCCTGCTCTGCTCCCCGCTCTGGCTCTGGTGAATTCTCTCACCCTCCCGCGCTTCTGACTGTACCCAGTGCTTGTATGTATGTATGTATGTATGTATGTATAAATAAATCTTTTTAAAAAATAAAATAAAAGTTGAACAAATAAATGTGTGTGTGCAGCTCTCCTCCTGCCATCACCTCTACTTACCACTAACCCTGTAGCAATTCCTCACCACTATCATTTCCTATTTACCTGTTTGTGTTCACTGCCCAACTGCCAGGTGAGGGACTGAATACTAAATGTTATTCTAGCTGATGATTTATTCATTTATTTACTTAACAGATGAAAACATTGACATTTAGAAAGATGAGGTGAGATGTCCCGCATTGCATAACGTGAAGGGTGATTTTTAAATGAGAATGTTTCTGGGGTTCATAATTATGCTCAGTAACTGTCCTGACCCCAAATAACCTCTCAAAACTGAAAACTGGAATTAAAATGAGCAGAAAGATAATAAAATGATCTTTTTTTTGTTAACCACACTTCTCCCCATGCTCTCTGGCCTGGTCATTAAAACCCTAGCTCTCCAGTACATTCCATGAAAGAATACAGGGCTTACACACACAAATGTGGGAGAAAACTGGAGGTTTAACTGACTGTAATTATTGATATATTAAGAAACTGATGGGGGAAGATGGACTTTGTCTTTTAATCCCAGGAAAATATCTATTTTCCAATGAATCGATGGGAAATAATAAGTCATATTTGAAGTAGAGCTCTCAAATACTCACTTCTCTTGGTGACCTTGAGCCTCCTTCTCGAAATGTTGGTTTACATCTGAAATTAATCTATGATTTAAAAAAGAAAAGTATGTCAAACTTAATTGAGTAACTTGGAAAAAAATCAACAGTGACAGACATTGAGACAATAAAACAAAATCCCCAAAGTGTAAGAGACAAAGTTTAACATTATTCTTAGTCATTCGAAAGAATCAGTGAATATTCTACTGAATCCTAAGTGATTGTCTAGCTCCAATCCATGTCTCTTCAATCCCACTGATTAAATTAAAGTATCTTTGACAATAGTCTCTTTCACCATAAATTTGAGAAACTGAGATAATAAAGAGTCAGAGGAAAACTATAAGACAGTTAAAATCATCCATCTGTGCTTCGAATTTGAGAAGTAGGAAACTATAAACTTGAGAAATTTTCAATATGATGATGGCTGTTCATGCGTACACTCACGAGTTACTCTTTATTTACAGATTCAGCACTGCCTGGTTTTTAGCAGGGGAGATCTAGTATATTTACAACTTTGAAATGGTAAAAGGAGTGTAGAAATGAAGTATATGGGTAAATGGAATTTGGAACAGCTAAGTAATAATAGCAATAACAATAAAATTAAATGTTAGTAACTATTACCAGTTGGCATGATTGTCAATGTGTTAATGAATCTCAGTGTTTGAACACGTGTCTACACAGCAGCTGGAGCGCAGAGAATGCACAGGAAGTCATGTGGAAATGGATTAGGAGTGAGAAAGGGGAGGGAACAGGAAAAGACTCCCTGGTAGAGTCTCTGCCTTCCCCTAATGACAAACAAATAGACGCTAGAGAATTCATTTCTTCTAGAGGTGGCATGTCATTTCCAGGCCCCCTGAGCTCTCACCACCACCACATTAATGCTGTTCAAGGTTGGAGGAAGCCTCTGAGACCTGGCTTCCAGCCCAGCAGTGTCTCCTTTGCAGCCACTTCAGGAAGAAGGGAACTCAAAGGTTTTATATATATATATATATATATATATATATATATATATATATATGCAATGGTTTAAAGAACTTATGAATTTTTTTTTCTTTAAGAAAAAACATCTTGTGGAAAATTCTATGGTGAATAACAATGTTTGAGGAAAGAGACTATGGGGGAAAAAATTAGCACATACCAGGCTTCTCCCTGGAACCTTATCATTCTTTCTCCCAAGAGTCAACATAAAGTCATAGAAACTTATACTTGAGCAAACAATAGAATGATTGAACCTTGAGTATTGTCTTTCCATTGTTACTCTGGTAATAGTACTGGCCTTCCAGTTTCTTAAAAGGGCAATTTCAAAAAGTTGGAAACAGAAATTGACACCTGGTATTGAAGTCCAAAAACTTGTAATGTAGCAAAAACTTCAGCAGGTGGCGCTGGCTCACCTTTTCCAGCTGCTCGATGCAGGCAGTGTGGACTACAATTTTACAGACGGCACACTTCCTCCTGAGAGCCGATTTCTACAACATTAGATTCAAAACACAGGAAGAACTGTTAATCGTTTGTTCTGAAGAGTTTCTTGGTAATTAAAAGCATGTACACAACTAAAACAAATGTCATCGTTTCTATTACTAGGCAAATTTAAAATTCATCTAATACTATAAATAATACAGCGAATTCATCAACAGTCCTTTGACCAAGCAGCTCTAAGTCCCCATGATTTAAGATGACCTAGATTGTCTCTGTAAAATTATAGTAATTATAGTAGCTGCTACGCTTAGAATACATAATCTGGACCGACTTCTTTATTCTGTTATTTCTCAGTAGCATGACTTAACATTATAGGCAGGATTTTCCTCCTTTTTTTTCTTTTTAATATTTTTACTCTAGTAGTTAAGGGACACGCCAACATGCACATTTAGGTCCAAGTTCAAAACAAGGATTCTTTCCCAACTGTTAGAGTCTACACCTCAAGGGGCAAGCTTCTATCTTACTCACAAATCCATACTAAGCTGCTTGGGTTTCTACCCAAATCTTCATGAATGCAAAAAGACAAATCTAACTTTCACACTTAATAAGTAGCAGCAGCAACAGCAGCTAACGAGATTCTATTACATCCTAGGTACCAGGCAATCCGCTCCACCCTAAGAAATAGATGCCGTTCTTACTCCCACAGTAAAGACATATCCAAGGTCATGGGAAGTGATGTGTCCAAGGTCACATAATTAAGACACCGCAAAGATGGGCAGTCTGGCTCCAGAGCAGAACACGTAGACCACAATATGAAATTTTCTTCATAAATCCTGTAGTGTGATGGTTTGTTCTACAGAGAACAGTCTGTTTTCTGTCTCCTGTCTTTTTACCAGATTAGGTGTCCTTCCAGTGTCTGTCTCTGCGGCTCTCACTTCCCTAAATGTCAGCTTGAGACAGTTAACAATTTGAAAAATCAGCTAATTAAGGCTTATAACCATCTGCAGAATTAAGTGACTAAATTGTGAGTGAAGGCCTCGGGTCTTGTACATAGTAGTAAAATATTTGGATTTTAGTTTCTCTACTGAATAAACTGCTTCTTTGAATCAGAAGTGTTAACTGCTCACTTCTTGGCTTATGAATAGGTTTCAACTGGATAAAGTTATTTAAAGTAGTGGGAGCATAAACTTAATAAGCTTTTGGACAGCATTTGGAGTGTCTATATTCCTGAATTTTACCCTTATATTTAGTTTAAATCTTGCAAATAAAAATTGTGATATAACCAAGCAAAATCACTCTATGTTTCAAGCTATTTCTATCCAGAAGTTTATGAAGCTATTTCTATCCTGAAGTTTATGAAGCAAAATCATTAAATTTAATGCAGCGGGTTAGTTGTTATTCCTCGTGTTAGGACACAGCTGTTAATAGAACCTAGCACAAAACCATAATTTAAAAACAAATATGACCTGGTACCCAACATGTTTAAAAATTAAGGGCTGGGCCTCCGCTGGTGGCGCAGGTGGTTGAGCGAGCACTGTGAAGCTGTCCGCAGCCTCTGCAGCGCTGGTTCCATCCCAGCCGGCCAGGGAGATACCCACATGGCGCAGCAGACCTCTCCTGTCTCACCTGCTACTCCCCTCAGCAGTGTATTTCGGTCAGTCTGCCTGTTCTGTTCCCCACTCTGTCTCTGGTGAATCCTCTCACCCTCCTGTGCATCTGGCCTGTACCCTGGTTCTTGTATAAATAAATAAATCTTTTAAAAATAAAAAATAAAAGTTAAGGGCTGTGTGGGGCCTCCTTGCAGCTCAAGGTAACTAAAGTTAATGTCGAAGTCTGACACCAAGAAGCATCTACCAGGCTAGCTAGACCCAATCCTTATTTACCCTTGAAATGGGGATATCTTGCCAGCGGCCCACACCTCCCCTGCTGTGGTCTATAGTCTCTGCCTACACACACACATACACACACACACAGGCATCCGCGCACATGCACACACACACGCACATGCACACACGCACACACACACACACACACACACACACAACTGCCCAGGTTCAACCACCGGAGGCCAGAAGTGGAGAAGTCGGGAAACACTTAGAGCAGGTCCTTGGAAAGTCACTGTGTTATTAGGTGGATGAGAAAAAAAACAGTCCCGCCCACGCTGAAGGAAATGGTGACAGGTGTCTGAGGACCCGCTTTCCTTACCCGTGGTGGTTCCACTAAAACTTTCCAAGAACTATGGGAGAATTAAGTGCGGGCTTACCGTGGGGTCCCCAGAGTCTGCCTGCACCCCGCCTGGGTGTCCCTGTCTCAGGAGAGCCCAGCCAGGCCAGTAACTGGCTGGACACTCCTGGCCGGCAGGCCTAGGCCCACAGACCCACTGCCAGGACCACTTCTCCCTCCGCCCACCTGGCCGGGGAGGCCTCAGCGATGATAGGATGGAGGGGGGGGGCTGCAGTGAGGAGTCCGAGCCCCCTGGGAGTGGGGACAGCGGGGAGCAGGGCCCAGGGAGAGGCCCAGGTAAAGCAGGGCAGACAGGCTGGCGGGAGGGTAGTCTCCTCCCCAGATTCTTGGCCCCTGGCCTTTCAGGAGCTGAATGCTGAGGGAGGGTTGGAATGCAGGCAACAGGGAAATGAAAGTGAAGCAAGAGGAGTCTTAACCTCCTTTGCTCCCTTTACACCCAAAGCTCAGGCTCAGGGCACTGGAGAGGGCTGGAGAGGCTGGGAAACAGGCACCGGCTGGGCCTCCTTTATCCTCTCCACGGCTGGGGTGAAGGAGACACTCGGCAAAGTACAGGGAACGGCCGGAGTCCGCAGCCAGGAACTCGGTGCCCTTCCAGTGCCGCCGCCTCTGTGGGCACCACGGCCAGGAGCTCTGCCGCCGCAGGAGCCACGGTAAATGAAAACAAGGCTTCTTTGATTTATTTAAGACCTAATTAGAAGACAAGCACACTTGGCAAGTCCTCTGGGGAGCCTGGGATGCAATCTGTAAGTGGGTATGAGGGAAAATGCAGGATGACGTTATGGGGAGGTTCTGTTCTGGTGACTTCCAGGCTGAAGCGCGGCCTCCGCTGCCAATCATGCGGGCTCCTCGCCTCTGGACAGAGCAAGCGGGGGCCAGCTGGAGTCCACGCACCCCCGGCGGGGCTCCCCACTACGCCACTCAGTCTCTCGGTGACAGGAGGGTTTTATGACCGAGGACCTTGGAGCAAGCACGCCGCTTGTCTGGAGGGCTCCCCTCAGCTGCAGGGAGACCCCGCCTGCGCGGTAGAGGACCCCAGCCCCGTCCAGCCCGGCTGGCCTTCACCTGTCACAGTCCCGTGTGACTGCGCCCGTGTCCTCTGGACAAGAGAGGCAGGGCGAGAACTGAGTCCCCCTGAGACAGGCCCCACCATCGACACTAAACGAGGCTGCTGATTATTTGAAAGAAAAGGATCCGGACCGTGAGAGGTTGGCAGGGCCACGTGCACAGACGCAGGAAAGGCTGCACCGCAGACCCGCGCCCAGGCCTGCCCCCGCTGGCCCTTCCTCCGGAGCCGAGGCCCGACGTGGCCCAGACGTGCGCCCTCGGGGCGGGACGAGGCGCTACCGTGGACAGTTCTGGAGCCGAGTCAGGGACCGTCAGCCACAAACAACCTGAGCCTCGCTGCACGTGTGAGATGTGCTGAGGGCGGGGTGGGAGAGAAAGAGGAGGCAGCTTCTGTTCTTCCTGGGAGGAGAGCGAGCCACTCGGGGAGAGAAGGGGGGCTGAGAAGAAAAGGTCGCGGACAGGAGGAGGCCAAAGGCTCTCTAAGAGGACCGCTCAGACAGTGGGAGTCGCCATTTGGAGGAGGGCAGACTCTCCGAAGCTGGCTCAGTAAAATGGGCCAAGCGGAAAGCAAATCCCTCCTTAGAAGAGGCACACAGTTGAGAACTCGGGGTGCTCCAGCAGGCAGGAGAGCCCCTCTCAGTACATGGAAGGCACGGACAGGCCTCAAAGAAGCCAGGGTGGGTTTTAGGAGCCCCCTGGGGCCCACAGTCGCTGGGTAATGGTGTCCATCTGCATGTGCTTCCAGGCCCCAGGATGCACGGTCAGGGTGGAGGTGTCAGCGTGTGTCCCTGGTCAGGGGGAAGGCGGAGCAGGTGTCCTTGGGCATGAAGGGTGGGCTCACCAGTGTGTTAAGCCAGAGGAGCTGTGCCACAAGGGGCGGCAGGAGGAAGGCTGATGGGCAGGGCGAGTCCCCAGAGGCCCAGGGTAAAGAGAGCAGAGTCCCAGGAAGACAGGCGTCCTGTGTGCCCCTGTGCCGCCTGTGACCCAACCCGAGCACACTTCTGACAGCTGACAGGAGCCCGGGAGAGACTTTAGAAGGGGTTGGGGGAGCAGGAAGAGACAAGGAAATGGAGTAAACTGGGAGGAGGTGGGGACGGACGGCCAGGTCACACGGGGCTTGAGGTCATGGTTAGGACATTAGCTCTTTCCCTGAAAGAGAAGAAATAAAAGTCCACAACGATAATTCGCACATCGGTCAATCAGAGCCTGGACTGGCGTGAAAGAAAGCAGAGAAGGTGCCAGAGATGCAGTGATACTCTCCCGGCCACATCAGGCCTCCGCCAAGGCAGCACACAGGCCTCATCCTCAGGCCTGTCTTTCAGCAGCGCAGCCAGCGCCTGGTCTCTGCACCGCATGGTGTGGCTGCCACCTGCTGCGGCCTCCTGTTCTGCACCCTCACGCCCTTATCCCTGGGCTCACCTAGCAGCCGGCCACACAACTCAGCCACCACGCTCCTCCCCCAGCAGGCTCAGTTCCATTCTAAGGAGCACGCACTGCGGAGTGACTTGTAATGAAGTGTTGAGGTTTCCAGAAACACCATCTCCCCTGCAACCTCAGCCTATAAATGTTAGGTAAGCAGGGCCAGCCCAATTCAGGCACGGAATGGACTGTCCACAGCTCCCCCGGAAACAGAGGGAGAAGGAAAACTCCTCGGCATTGCTTGGACACAAGAAGTTTTCTTTCTCCCCAACAGCCAGTGTATTTTATATTTCTTATTTGAAGAGCAAGAAAACCAAGATCT